CCCCCCTCCCTAAGATATAACTTGGAAGTTAATTTTAACCTACTAAATAAAAAAAAAATTAAGTTAGAATTCAGGAAACGTGGTTTTATTTACTTTAATTACAACACGAGGTGAATCGGTAAGCCTAGAGTAAACAGACTTCACTCGCTTTCATTTACCATCCTTACTGGTTCATTATTAACATACCTCTATACAGTCTTTAATTAACATTAGATGGTGGGTGGGGACGAGATGGGGAATGGGTAGCCTACTAAGAGTGGGGGGATGCGCAGTGAGTTGGTAATTCTAGAATAAACTCGCCTTCATTTTTGCATCCCTCTTGAAGTCTTTAATTAACTTTAGAGGGAAGGGGCGTGCTATGAGATGGGTACAGTAAGATCAGAGAGGTGGGGCGGGGCCGATGTAAGATGCGCTGTCCAACTACTGAGTTTTACCCATTATTTTTTTGCGAATTAGAATATTATATTCAAAATAGTACTGAAAGAGCATGACTATGATTTCACAAGCAAAGGGAACGTTTTTAAAGTTTATGTCTCGGCACCTTGTCATAGCCTTAGAATATTCATAACAGGTAAGAAAAGAATCAGTATTTTGGTAAAATAAAAACTTTTGAGACCATGGCTGCAGAAAATAAACCTTTAATATAATAAATTTTACTAAAATTTTGCTATTATTTGCTATAAACAATTTACATACAAAAAATATATATACATATTATTACACTATAATATATTAATAACTACACAAAGGAATGGTTAAAATTGTATTTTAATCAGATTGAGTGAAATAACCCAAAGTAAAGATGAGAAACAAAATATCAAAGGCTGTATTTAATTCAGAAATAACCCATTTTGGAGGGGACACACTTGTAATTAGTGATCAAGTTTGTGACAGTGTTTGTTACGGAAAGCAACAATATTGTCAAAATTATATTCAATATACAATATGGTGGGCGAAAAGTGTCAATAATTGATGTTTTAATTGTTTTTAATCAGATGTCTTATGGAAGACAAAACTTGATAATGATTTTGATCAGATGTTATGGAAGGCGATACCTGCCAAAATTATTCATTGTATATGTACATTATGGAGGGGAAACAGTGACAAAAGTTCATTACGCCATACGACTGGAATGAATGGATCTTTTTGATTTCTCTGAACGATGGGAGTATTCGGAATAACGATCATCGGATAAAGCTTGTAGTCCCGATCTTTTGGACATCGTATCACTGGCGTATCCATTAAACTCGGCTGGAAAATAGAAAATAAAAACACAATTAGATATCAGAGGTGTGGAAACCACAGCTTTGTAAACTAAAATCAAAGTCGAATGCCATTGACAAAGCAAACATACAAGTGAATAGAAGTCTTTCAATACCAATTGAACGATATTAGGCATGTGGACTCTCTGAAATTTATCCTGAGTCGATAATTAAACAATATTAACTGTGTGGACTCTCTGAAATGGATCTTCAGTTAAATACTTTGTTTTCAAAAGAACATTATTAGCTATGTAGACTCTCTGAATTGGATGCTGAGTTGACAATAAAACAATAATACCACATACACATTAATAGTTATGTGGACTCTCTGAAAGTGGTAATCAGATGACAAACCCAATAGAGTCACAATGAAAGAGATTGAGCGACTGTTGAAACCTGTCAAACGTTATGTGGTAAAAGTGGTATTTAGAAAGAGATATTAAACTAACTGGAAGTGTTTGACTAGATGATAGAACAGATTACCAAGACTGTTTACAATCTACTGGTAGTCAATATGGTCAACCCTTCTGAAGTCAATTTCTAGATTTGTTAAGTTTGTTACAACCAACTATTTAACCACCAGAATTACGACATCTATCATTTCAAATTTCAGTATTATCTAATCATATAATCCGAGCAGATATGGCCAATATTTTATGACGTCCCGAGTAATATAGGTTTTCACAAACGTTTTGTCAACTGGACGCAAGTTCGGTGTCAACAGCTTGTAGAAGGCATGTAACCTATCGACAACTAGTAACGACAATCTAACAGAAGGTTGTTAACGTGGTCTAATCTTTTCACTGTTGGTCTTGAAACAATGAACGCTGTGGTCAAAGGTCACAACTGGTGGACGCTTCACTATTAACAACTCATTGGGAACAACGTTTCGAGTCGGTTACTGTTTTGATTCTTAGATTCTTGAATTCAATTAATATTAAACAAACAGTATCCACAAAAAGACGTACAAAATGGCAGGTTTCACAAAGCTTCTTCACAAATATATAAAACGAAAGTGTACCAAGGCGCTATACCTCTACCCTTTACGACATAGAGACGACACCAAAACGTTACCATAGCAACGTATTTACCTCTAATTTTCACATACACTTCGGAATGAATCAACTCGACCTTTGACCTTTAAAGACCGACAACACCTTTATGTGAACGTTCTTCTCCCAAAATTCTTGAGCTGTTTTTTTCGGTGATTTATAAAGAGTAACTTCGTTTCATATTTTTTTTCCAATTTGAAACTTCGAAACTTTGACTATTCAAATCGTCACGTTCGATTCACCACTTTGTTTGAATATTCGAATACGTTAAATTTTATTTAAAAACTACATTTCTAAGGTGAATATAAAATAAATGGAGTTTTACGTCCAACTTTCATGAAAAAGGGACAATGTAAAGGCATGATCTTTGACCAAATAACACAATTCATCAACATACAACATTCCCTGTCAAACTAAGACACAAAATTTTGGACTGGTTGGAAATGGTTATTTTTGGAGTTAATTTTGGTTAGGTTTAAATTAAAGAAGTAATTATGAATTAGATTAAAAACTATTGAATTCTAAAAGTTAAAAAATAAAAGTAATAGAAATATCATCGATTAAGATTTGATTAAAGCTATCGTGTTCGTATTAAAAAAAATTAAAAGAATTTTGATAAATTCTTCGATTAATAATTCGTTGGATCAACAGTGTTAATTGTATGGGTTTTGCTTTTGTATCGTATAAAAATAATTTTCTTGTCAAAAATCGCAGCTCTCTGAAAGAATATTTGTTTTGAATTTTAAAAAATCGAGTTAAATAATTATATAACATGTTCATTCAAGCATTAAAACAAGGATAGCTTTAAGAGTAAAACAAGTAAAAAAAATAATTATAAATATCATATAGACTTATTTGGTTAAGAGAGGGTTAACAAAAATAACAACAGATGGAGGTGTAAAGGGTTAATTTTTTAAAATATCGCTAATGATATACCTACGCTTTATTTTTCGGCTGCAAAAATAACATTTGAATTTTGTGAGAAAGTGTTAAAAACATAATAATTTGGAGGCCAATACATAATATAACAATTCTATACATCAAAAGACAAAGATAATGAAATTCTGGCTATATTTCTCTGCAATGCTCCTGCGAATTTGAATCCAATTATTTCAATTTGTATGCTCGATACCCCTCTTGTAGATCTGACGCCACTCTTCTTCACATTGTGTACAGATCAACGTATTGAACTTTGACACAACGACTGCATGATTTATCTTAACCAATCAGAGCCTCTGTTACGATTGCCTGAATCTAGCTTTAAAGCTGAACTTAACATTGCGAAGAATTTTTTCAGATTCAAATAGAGTGAGATACTGCTGTAAATAAAATACTACAGTATAGCTTGGCACATCTATCTGGCCTATCACCAAATTCTTATGCCACGGTCTGTGCATTCGAGAATGGGCCAGTTATCGACCATAGCCCTAATCACAAGCTAATTTCATACTTACATTTCTCTAACTTTTTGTAAACTTCTGGTAAAAGTTTAGCTTGTTTGGCTGCTAAGACGAAAGCTAAAATAGCCAAGATGGCGGCGTCGAATATAAGTACTATAGCTAAGATATACGCCCATCTGATTCCACAATATCCCATATCGTAAATTCGGTTGTTGTTACCACATACTCCCGTTATGATATCATTATCCCAACCATTGGGGAAGATTACACAACCCAAAAACATGAAGATAGCTGAAAATCAGAAAACATTATCGTTATTATATAAATCTACCAAATAAACATTATTAGCTATGTGGACTCTCTGAAAAGGGAACCTAAGTTGACAAACCTTATAAATGCCAAAATAACATTATTAGCTATGTGGACTCTCTGAAAGGGATGCTAAGTTGACAAACCTAAATACCAAATAAACATTATTAGCTATGTGGACTCTCTGAAAGGGAACCTAAGTTGACAAACCTTATAAATGCCAAAATAACATTATTAGCTATGTGGACTCTCTGAAAGGAAACCTAAGTTGACAAACCTTATAAATGCCAAAATAACATTATTAGCTATGTGGACTCTCTGAAAGGGAATCTAAGTTGACAAACCTTATATATGCCAAATTAACATTATTAGCTATGTGGACTCTCTGAAAGGGAATCTAAGTTGACAAACCTTATAAATGCCAAAATAACATTATTAGCTATGTGGACTCTCTGAAAGGGAACCTAAGTTGACAAACCTTATAAATGCCAAAATAACATTATTAGCTATGTGGACTCTCTGAAAGGGAATCTAAGTTGACAAACCTTATATATGCCAAATTAACATTATTAGCTATGTGGAAGGAGAGAGGGGAGAGGGGGGGGGGGTGTCAGATCTTTGTAATATAAGGCGTATTTCCCCGATTTATTTTCAGAAATTAAATTAAATTGTCCAAGGCATATTTTAAACCACGTAGTTTTTGGCAATGAAATAAAAGACGAGTAAACAGATATATTGGCCCCGGGATTATCCTTAATCCATTAATCGCAGTTAATTCTATCTCAATATTGATAAGAGCGATCTTCGATTAGATTTTAAATGACTTTTCCCATTTCAGAATTAAGTTATCTCTCGAATTATTCCAGTCAACCCAGCTGAAAATTGAGGAACTGAATCAGGCATCTTTCCTCGTTATTCAGGTCGACCCAGCAGTGTATGGGGTTTTATAAGTGTATATCTTCTATTTACATCATTCAAATTTCAAACCCGACGTTTGTGCTTCTTTAAAAACCGGAAAATTTTAGATTATAACGTCACTATCGCCAATACCATTTAAACTCAATTCAGACGACGTATCTTGATTCTATGTAAATTATTTTTGTAGTTATAAAGACAGTATAAAGCCGACCCTACCTATTCTGAATATTTGTATTTGTCACTACATTGTTTTATTGACTAAACCTCTCTTAAACAAATACAGGCAGGTTTCTATTACACTCAATATCAACTAAAAACACCTCCCGTGAATATTCAACTCATTCAAAAACTACAGTTTTTTACTTTTCAAATCTGCATTAAAAATAACTGAATTCAAACCGACTTCTAGACACCTGGTACCACTTTTCATCATTAAATATTCTTCTAGACACCTGATACTACTTTTCTTTATATCTTAATAATTGATATACTTCCACATAAGAGCGATTTTGGTGCCAGGCAGGGTATGCTTACTCTTCTAGACACCTGATACCACTTTTCTTTATGAAATACTTACTCACTTATAATTGATATACTTCCAAATAAGACCGATTTTTGTTATGCTTACTCTTCTAGACACCTGATAACACTTTTCATTATGAAATACTTCCCCACTAATGATTGATATACTTCCTCATGTGAATAGTTCATTAGCTGCTAGAAATATTTTGCAAAACTGTTATTTTGGATTTTGGTTTCGTTTTGCAGTTTAGATCTTTAGTACTTGAATTGTGCTCGGTTAAATGCCTAAAACCCAACTGCAAAATTTGATCGTAAGATTGTTTGTCAAGCGAGGACCAAAATGTGTATTTTTGTCTACAATGTGCTTATTTTATTATTGTGTCGAGATTATTGACTATGCAATGATAAGATGATAATATTTTGAGTAAATAAATTATTTTATATTTGTTTGTTATATAATATGTGTATTCGTCGCTAGAATCACGTTTATAACCAAAAAACTGTTACTATTTGTATCTCTTATTGCCCCGTGGAAACACAAAGTTACCGAAATTTGTGCGGGGTTTTTATATATTGATAGTCGTATATCTAATCAAGATGCTATATAACTATAGTTCTGTAGTTTAAGCTCTTTCATCAAAACTTCGTGATACTTTGTCGCTAAAAGTTTGGCTGAAAAATTAATGCCTTGTCTGTAATTCGAATGATGATGACGTATGAAAATGTCTGTTAGTGATTCCTGATTTTAAATCAACCAAATATGAGACCCCTCAGCTAAAAACATTCCGAGGGTGTGGCCCCAATCCAGTTCACAGGCCCCCGCTCTTCGGGTTGTGCCACTGCTCTCTGAAGAGAATTTGGAGTTAACAAACCAAGTCGCAGAATGGTATCAGGTGTGCTGTAAGAGTAAACACGTCGTGTATCGTCAGAGTAATTATTGTAATGGAGGTTGAATAAAAGTAGATGGTCCAAAGTTCTTATATTAATTACTCTTTGATAAATAATTAATTATATTGATCATTTGATTGATTCTATACCTGATCAATACATTACTTGATTGATTTTATATATGGACAATACATTACTTGATTGATTTTTGATTGTTTTTTATTTACTATTCCATTTTTGCTCCATTAGATTCCATTATAATTATTAAAAATTGTGTTTTCTATGATGCGATCTAGTATGATAGGGTTGTATTGTTAAAAACGAAAATCGATTATGAGCTTTGTCAGGAGATTTGCAAATTCCAACAAAACATATTATCTATGTGCCTGAGGACGACGTGAGCAATACATCTAGTTGTTGCATAAAACTTTAACCAATGATTGTTGTTCCAAACAGCTGCGTCTATAAAAAAAATCCATCAGATACTTCCGACTAGTGTTTGGGATATAGAATCCTCATCAGGACAGCTAGTTTCCGAAATGGTGGCTAAACTTCCATACAATAACTTAGCAGTTAGATTGGGACAGGGAAAAGGCGACAAAATTGGCATAAGGGAGGGGGCTCATAGTTAATTCGTTTTTTATGTAAAATGATAAGAAATCTGATTCTTGGGTTAGAGGGGGGTCACTCTGAAAACCCTAATCCCTGAACCCCATATAGAAACGGCAGTGTTTTAGGCGCAAGTATTCGGCGAACTTCCTCATAAACGCTTCCCTTTTTTGTCTGAAAATAAAAAGATAAACAAAAACAGGAATACAAACCTGCAAGAGTCTGGATCCAAGCGCAGATTCTCAGAGTTGTGGCGGTATTCAGGAACAAAAACAGCAGAAGACACAGACAGCAGATTAAAAACAACAAGGCCGATAATCCAACTAAAACAGCAGCAGCATGGAACGACTTATTCAAATACTTGTTGGAATCGAAAAAATCCCCTTGACACGAAAACTCGTTATTATTGGATAATAAACAGTATCTATAGAGACCGAAAAATCCAGCAGCACCTGCCCCTGTGTCACCTATCCACTGTGGCTGAATGAAACAGACGATATTCAAAATAGCATAGCAGACTGTGAAGATACCCCAGAGAACACAGATCGCTCGGGAATTTCTCACGTAATTCGTATGATAGATCTTCGTCAATTCTGTATTATACTCCGTTTCACGATCCATCTTTCCGGAATCTTGTCAATCCACAAAAATATTCCAAAATGTTTTCAAATTGGGAAAGAAACCTCCCTAATGTCCCAAATTTAGAACGTAATCAACTGGGTGAGGCCTATTTAGACTATTTTCACCTTAGTATTAGAGAGCACCTGTAATTAAGAAGATAAAAGAAAGACCGGTCTGACAAGTTTACCGTTAACAATAGGTGAGATAGTCTAGATTACTCAGACATATTGTGACCATTTTATGATACGATTCGTTTCTGTACTTGATAATCACGACTATCACATCGTCACGTGACGTCTCTCCTCAGGACAAAAATACTTCCTAACATAGTTGTATATAAGACATTCGAGACAAAATCTTTATTAGAGTTTTTTATTATGACATTCGGGACTATCATTGCACAATAATACAAGGGAGCTTATCCTTTATAAAGGCAGCAAAAACCAGACAACAATATCACTGTTTGTTTTTGAATTTTTACAAAAGTGACGCCGACACGTGTTTCAGATACACATTCTTCATCAGGACAGCTAGAAAAAGAAATAAGAGACTAACAAAAGCACATATCTAATCATAAAGCATCTTTATTCAACTTATCGATTTCAATTCTGCCAACAAACGGCATAGAAAAGTGTCCAATATAAATATAAACACCGTGCTGATACCCTTCCCCGACCCCTCGCACCACACTTCCGGTAGGGTCATGATAACTGGCGGCTATTTTTCCTTTCGGACTGATCTCTACCAACATAGCATGACGTGGTAAAAACACATCAAAAAGCGGTCTTGGCGTTACCTGTAAAAGAAAGAATGCTAGATGATAAGGTCAATTAAATGTCAATTTGTTGCGAACTCTGCCTAGTACCTTGACATCCCCGGGAACTTTTCTCGTATCATAGAAGCTTGTAAATGTAGCGATTTGATTGGTTTCCACACCAGCAAATATGCTGAAATGCATGATGCTACTTCGTAATTTGGTCTGTCAGCTCAGCATCCGTCTCAGAGAGTCCGTAAACTGCAGCATGATTTTTTATTTTTATTTTGAATAAAGGACTTGCGATTTGAAAGAGAGTTGGGGCATTAGAAAATTCTTACCTTTGCTAAGAATCGTTTAAACCAGGGATACGGGCCAATGTTGTCTAAAAATGGCCCCAGGCGACTGGATCCTTCAAATTTCACTGAGCCCATTCCCACGAAATAATTCCCAGCCGAGTTCAGTTGGATATTGTCCGGATACCCGGGTAAATTCTCAATAAAAACTTCACGCTCACCCGCACGTGAGCCGGTCAAATGATACCTGGAAATAGTCATGTGACAGTCATGTGATATAGTCATGTGATATAGTCATGTGATAAATCATCTGGTAAAAGCTGTATATTGCTGCTGCTTCTTCGGAAGCGAGAGATGGAATGAGTTTACGCTCCACTTTTCTACGCCTAGTTGTATAAAGGAGATGGGCAACAAATGCAGTGTGCAATAAGGGAAGTTTTTGCTAGAACAGTCATTCTCCTTTTCTTTTTCGAAATCTTCGTGCACATGACATTGGGCCTCTGCCAGTTTGGATTTACACTACCCTTGGGTGGTCCTTGATTACATCACCCTCCAGTTGTTGATGCCTCTTTATCCATCCCAATTTTCTGACACTGCAGTTGGGATCCGAACGTCCTGTTGGTGTTCCCTACCCCACCCGCAACCATTCCTACACTCCCATACTCCAAATAGACGACTTACTTGATGATCCTTGAAACCGTCATCTCAACTATCAGTAGGTAAGATTCGTCTTGAGATAGAACTAAACCATTGGCCAGGTATAATCCTTCTAAAACAACTTTAACTTGGTCTGTAGTCGGATTGAAACTGAGTAGTCTCCCGTAACTGTTTGTTTCTATGACCTACAATAGAAATGGAGTTTTACGTCCTACTTTTTCGGCACTTAGTCCGAAACAGCTGCCTCTATTCCAACCTCTGATAGACATTGTGAAAGTTGTCGGGTGGCGTAGCTTACTGGGCGTGGTTTGAACACTAGTCCTACGTGAACAATTTCTTTATAATGAACTCCAACCAACATGTAGTGACGTATTTAGGGGGTGGGTCTTTGGACCATGCCCCTCCCCATCTGACATGGGTCCGAAAACATTCCGAGAAATTTAGGGAGAATGTTTTTTGAAATAGCGAAATGATTGACCACATTTCCAAACCACAGTGGGCAGGGTTCAAAGAGTAGTTATTCTTATTTGAGCACCAACAGTTGGCAGTGGGGGTGGTCGTAGTCCAGTTTGCTAGTTGTCTTACCTCATATCTGTAATTACGTCGGTCCCATTTGGTACTAGAATCGGTAAAAAATATCATTCCATCTGAAGTTATAGCCAACCCATTTAAAAACCTCAGTGGTTCTCGGAGCTGATCTGAAAAACAGAAATGATAGATGCGGGTTATTAAGATTGGTTGCTTTGTATCATTAAGTATCTAGGGTGGACGAGTTCATTTGAAACCCCTGATCATCAAGCATTGTTTAAATTGCCAACTTACCAGTATCCGGTCGAACTAAAACTTCGATATTTTTATTTTGGAGGTTGACTTTCAATAAACCTTTATAGGCGTCGACCAAAACCAAATCTCCGTTCTTGTCAATCTTCATCCCTTTAGGGCGTCCACATTCCGGTTCTAGTTCAAACGATCCTAAAAATGACAAATGGATACTAATTAAAGGTAAAGGTATACAGTTGGGGGTGGGGGGGGGAGACTGAAAAATTCAACACAAGTGAATCAAATTGATATCATCCAAGCGCCAGCATTGTCCGATTAAAATAGGGCGTTTTTATTGTCATCGGTCAAATTGGCGAGGGGTCGAAATAATTTCTCCCTTGCCCACCCTTTACCTGCGGACATGGATTATTATAGACAACTACAACTCTTTATGTTCTCTCTGGTGGACCAAATATTTAGACGACATTATCACTTAAAATATTATATGAAAACTAGTATATACCACAGTGAGAATTATTGATGCCAGTTCGTGCCAACATTTCAAGTTGACCATCTTTAAATCTCCAAATTTTACCATCCGCAGAACCGGTATAGACAAAACCTACAATGAAAAATAGGTTATGGATTGAAATTTTGGAATGGTAGTTATGGGTTTCTTATCTCCGTCGACGTAGCCTTCCTCGCCATTCCAGTTGAACCATCTGTGTTACGGATAATCCGGGAAAGATCAAAGTCAAGAGGTTTTGGCAAAGACCAGCTGGTAGACAGGATCCTTAGGACTCTAAGATTATGTTTCTTTCTATAAGACCTTTTCTTACCATTCTGATCTGCAGTGAAAGACTCCGGTCCTATAACTTGGTTTTCAAATAATTTATCAACTCTTTCCAAGGCTTGGTTTACAGCCAGAGGTCCCTTTAACTGAGGCAGGGGATGCTTATATCTATAATAACCAGTTGAAACGTCATTAGTCTATTATAGTCTGACGGAACTACCCATCTAGATATTATTTTTCCTTTTTTTTCTTTGGGCTATTTAATTCATTAGGATCGAAAATCTATTGTACCAACGTTTAAAACAGAACACTTATAGCAAGTTTCGGGAAGGTTGGAACTTAAATATTATCTATCATATAAAACGTTTGGAACTTATAAGAAAAGTTACTTGAAACGTTCGGAACTTAGTGAAAGGTTTGGAACTTGGGTGAAATATTTGGAACTTACATAAACTATTCTTGGCCTTTTTATGAAAGTTTTGAACTTACATTAAATATATGGAACTTATATAAAATATTCTGGAACTTACAAGAAAGGTTTGGGATCTATTGGCGAGGGAATAAAGTAGACGATCACAACAGCTATCAATAAAACACAGCAAGATAGATAGGGTACACTGAAATATATTAAAAAAATAACTAATGAATATTATCAACTACATGTATGCGGACTCTCTGAAAGATTTTCAGGCATTATTAGCCATGCGTGGATTCTCTGAGATGCTAAATTAACAAACCTAAATACATAAATTGTTATTGGAATGAATCATTTTATATTTTTGAGAAAACCATTTGTTTAAATTTACACTTACCTTATCAAATTGAATTTAGTCTTTTTGATTATTTTGTGGTCCGAATTCATATTATGACTTCAAGAGGCCTGTCAATATGGCCGAAATAACTAGATCTGTAGTGTTTGGGTTATAGCCAGCTAGAGTTACGAAACGGCGACGGCCGGTCAAGGCCATTGTATTATAAAATACATTGAAATGTCGACTAGACTGGACCTTGGTCAATAGACAAAGCCGGTGGAGGTCAAGATGACCAGCCAGTGTCACATTCAGATTTGAATCTTGAATTGATGAAGACTGTCTCACATCTGTCCTTTAGATAACGCCTATGTCTGAAATTTAATGGAGTTTTACGTCCTTCTTTTGGAAAAAAAAATCAAGCGGCAATATTTGTATACATGAGTCTAAAATCATTTTTCCTTCTTTTAACGATATAAATTTAAAAATGAAAGATTCAAAGCGGTCATAGTTATAATAATGTATTGAATTCAAGTATTCGTTTTATAATAACCACGAATCCATATCCAGAATTAGGCCTGCACATTGCCTATGATTTCAGCCAATCAGAACAAAGTAATTTAATCTCTCCTTATGACCGGATGTTTACATCGGTTGTCAACAAGCATGTGCTTGAAATGAAATTTTCTTGTTGATGTTGTGTTTTCAGGCATTTTGAAGTTGATTTCGGCAGGATAGAAGTAAACAATGTCTTCAGAAGGAACCCACGTTTTGCTTCCTATTGAAGCCGAGGCTTATATTGAAGATATTACAAAGATAGACTTAAAAGATGTGGGAAATAAGAAGTAAGTTTTGTTATCTTTTTTTCAAAACAACCACCATCCATTTCGAAGTTATTGCAAAATTTTCAATCTTTTTAAGTTATGAAAACTGATAAAAGTTATTTCAATGTTTGTTTTACCAGATGGTATTGCACAGCTTCAGTTATCCATTTGTGTCACGTTTGTCTTTGCTTTTGCCAGTAGATAGAGCTCAATTTCAGCTATCTGTAAGCTTATAAAGAATTCGAAACACCACGTCAAATTCTCTGGCAAACAAACATTATTTTTCATAAAACTATGTCTCTTAGATGGGGTCAACAACATGAAAGAATAGAGAAAATCAACATGCAGGCAGTGATGAGTGCTACCCAGCAAACAGACGAGTTTATCAAGGAATTTCTGATAACTTACGAAAAGGTAGGAATGACTTTTCTTTGATTGACAAATAACACACACGACGTAGGCCTACAACCAACCAATTTTCTGGACCCTGTTTGACGAACAGATAGAAGGCTAGGCCACCTACTTTCAATAATATCAATGTTTTTATTTTCAGCTGCCAGTTTTAATAGGTGATTTGATAACCACAGAAATTTGGAAAGAGAAAATATTTACTGAACTTGTTAAAATGAACTTTGAACCCAAAATTACATTTCCTATTTATATTGTGGTAAGTAGAGAATTCTTCTTTTTTTTATAAATAAAAGATCAAAGTTAAATGACCCATTGTTATATTCTATTGTATGGATGAAGCCATGCAGTGTACGATGAGGCAAAGTTTGTTTTAGTTATTTTAGTGCAATGTAGTTTGTCTTTGATGTCTATAAGATGATACTGATTCTATTACCCATTTTATGAATACGTGATATACATTATAAGTCTATGATCTTTTGCATAAAACAGAAATTGAAGTTACTGAATTTTCCCCTCGGCCTGTGCTTTCGTAACTTCAATTATTGTTTTAACTAACTAATTAAACGACTCTATCTCTATGTTTTCTAGCTCTATCATGAAGCAACTGTGTGTAATCTATTGGAAACTGTCATGTATCACCGTGATGCCTGCGAAGCCACTGAAGATGTTATTTTAGATTTATTAGATTATTGTTATAGAAAACTCACTCATATCATAGCTAGGTTGGTAGAATTATTTATTAGAAGAGATCATAAGATTCTGGAGGATCTTTTCTATCAGCTGGTACATGGTCAAACCTCTTGGTAATGATTTTACAAGGATAACTATTTAGGTTCTCAAGGTTTCTTTTTACCAACTTGTTGTTAGTCAAATCTCTTGGTAATGATAATACAAGGATAACAACTTAGATTCTCTAGGCATTGATTTTACAACTTTGGCATTTGAAGATTTTGATTCCCAGCTGTTTTTTGAATCTTGATATTGAACTGGACTTGAAGCTGGACCTTATCCCATCTTGAATGAGTGAAGTTACCCAGTAAATGAAACCAAATATTATTTGTCTATTTTAGTGCTGATGAATATAAAGAAGAACCAGAAAAGAAAAAACAAGATCAAGTTTCTTGTATGACAGTAAGTGTTATTTATGGTATATTTCTAACAATTTAAGAGTTGTTTAATGAGTTAGACATTTGGTTTTTAATGTTGTGGTCCTAGGCTTTGTTCCAGGCTTAGATTGAGATAGTTGCTGTTGATTTTTAAACCCTAGTTTCCCTCCTTCAGTTATGTACCGACAAAATTCCCTCATTGTACACTGCTTTGTATTCAGGAATTGATTAACCAGAAGAAGTCGATAGAATTTGAAGTTTGTGTCAAGTCAGTTTCATTGTTAAGATACATCACAGACCATATGGACGGGTAAGAGATTTGAATTAAACTTGTATTCTGAGACCAAAAATTCAATAAACAAGAGCAATTCTGGTGTAAAACAAACCCCCAAATACTATCATACATCTTAGCTCAAAAAATCCTAATTAAGATATAGAACAGTAGCATTACAGACCTATGCTTGATGTCCTACAGAGGATATTGACCCGTGGTCATTTAAGCTGCCCTTTCGGTCATGACCGTCATATAGAGCCAAATCAAAACTCCGTGATATTTTATTCCAGTCTACCACTAAGTGTTACAAGTCGTTTATTAAACACCTTAGATATACCTGTATTACTGGTAGAGCTGATAGAAAACCCTCCCTGGACTAAACGTCAACATGGTAAGTTATTTCCTTAAACTTAAAGATAGGGGGAGGAGAGGATACCTTAAATAGACATCTTGTTTTATATTATAAACTTAGTGGGATGAAAACCCTCCCTGGACTAAACGTCAACATGGTAAGATATTTCCTTTAACTTAATGGTGGGGAATGCATGTTTGACAATTTGACCAACAATTTTATGCCATAAGGCCTATGCTTAATCAAGCCACACTGACCCTTGACTTTTGACCTTTGTGTTTCAGGTCAACTGTATAAGTATATAGAAAACAAATGGCAGCTGGTAGCAAGAGATGATATGTTTAAAATTACTAAAATAGAAGGCCAGGTGGGTCAACTTTCTCCGTCTTTTATATAGATGTATTATTTTTAAATCCCCTGATTCCTAAATTACGTGACAGGTGATAGGTGTTTCTAGGAAACATTAGGTGAGGAGGGCAGAGCAGTGGCCACAAAATTTATCAGGGGGGGACACGAGTTATTCTTTCACTATACTTCACTCTTAACACTATGTAAAATGATAAATTTGAAAGTCAGCGGCCCCCGATAGAAACACCAGTAATCTCTTTTGCAGTCTATTCGGTCAGTGTTGTTTATTTGTATTTAAGGTGTGGATTTGTATTTGTATTTAAGGTGTGGATTTGTATTTGTATTTAAGGTGTGGATTTGTGTTTATCATGTTTTAATGGATCAGAATTGTCAACAAAAATATGATTTAAATTCTTACAGAAAGAACGTCATATTGAAGGTAAATTTTTAAAAATTTTGTTTTATTAAAATTAGTTTATCGATAAATGGAAATTGGAAAAAAGTCGGTGCTGCTGTCTCAGCCAAAATTCCCTCATTGCACACTGTAACTAATCTTTATTACTTTAATAATGTGGAAAGGGTTATATTTATTTTATTTTCTGCTTTTGATATAAAATTTCGTGATAGCTTTAACATTTCAAGTTAACACTTTATTATTTTTAGTCACAATAATTCATGATAGCTTTAATGTATCAAATCAACGATTATATTTTTTGTCTAGTTACGAGGGTATATCAATGAGATGTTACTAGATCAGCTGCCAATATTGGGAGAATTACAGAGATATCTGGAACACCTGTCTATGATGGAACCACCGCCTGTTAAACAGGATCTTGTTCTGGAACAGGTAGGAATCAGAAATTATTTCCACAGTTTTCCAATAATATTGTACCTTAGTAATTTCAAAATGGCAACAATCTTGATCAAATTTTCAGTCGATCTAATTATGTCTTTCAAAAAATATTTATATACATCAAGTGACATATTTAGTTTCATCATCCTATTAGAAAATAATTTAGAGGACCATATCCCTTTTATATTTGATATTTTTTTGTAGTTACCAGAAATAAGAGACAGTATTATAAACGAATATAATGGAAAATGGAAGAAAATGGCCGTCCAACAATCCAAAACACAATTTAATCCTTCAAACTGTGATATTCAACAACAAGCTAAAAGGTGAGTCAAGCCTTTCAGTTATTTATGGACAGAGGGGTGGGGTGGCTCATTGAGTTAGACTTTTATTAGCTAGTAAAGTTTCTAAACTTTCAATTATACTAGGGACACTCATAACATCTATTTGTATCATTTAGTGTTGAAACGGTTAGTGAATTTTATGAACCGGGTAATCTTCGGCAATAACCGTTTGTTACACGGTTAATTCCGGTTAATTACTAAAGATTATAAAAGGGGTCAAAAACCGCATTTGCGGCGGAAACTCACCGTAAACTAAACTAGAATAAGTGTAAATTAGTTACCCATGAAATACTACCCGAAATCGGTTAACTGATTAACCGTTTCAACACTAGTATCATTCCAATATTCAGTCAGGTGTCTGTGGTTCGTGTAATTCCATTAAAACTAAGTGTTTTATGATGTCACTGTCTCAAAAGCTGGTAATAATATCTAAGAGCCTTTGAAATAGTGACATCATAAGATCTCTTTAAGATTCTTTATGAAACGAAGCCATGGAAAAATAAAAGTGAACTGTATATATTTATATTTTATCTACAGATGGGCTGATACATATAATATGGACGTATTAGAAAACTTGATCTCTGATCCTCCAAAATGTGCTGTTTGTGGTGAGCCTGCTACTAAACGATGTTCACGCTGTCAAAATGAATGGTATTGTCGAAGGTATGTCAATTTTCTATCTCTTGGGCTGAAGTTCTCAAATTTCAAGAGCGTTTTAATGAATTGAGACCCTGTGTGTCACAGCCTGTGCATGTTAAAGATCCTTTGACAGTTAGAAATTAAAAAAAGTAGGCTAATGCTGCTGTCCTGGCAAAATGTCACTCATCGCACACTGCATGGCATGGTCTGTCTTCAATAGCCCAAGCATTGTTTTAATAACATGATATAGTTTAAGAATATCCTGAATATATAATATTTATCTCCCTTCTTATAATTATAAAGTAGATGCTATCTAAATGTGTCAAGATCATTTCATACTGCTGACGTATCAGATATACAATCCTCATCAGGACATCTTTCCTAAATTGCACTTAAGGCCTTTAAGCAAAGATGCGAACTCTCAGAATACTGATAAGATTTTATGTTTCTTTGATCCATCAACAAGTTTTTTTTTATTCATATTCGATTGAACAGTCTCAAAAAAACAATTAAAGCAATGAAAATTGTTCATTTTTTGTAGAGAATGTCAAGTGAACCATTGGACCAAACATAAAAAGGCGTGTAATTTGATGTTCGATTCTCTGAAAACAGATTTAAAAACAGCAGTGAAAACGTAGCGAGACTTTCAACTGGATAATTTATCTATTCAATCTGTTATTCATTCAGCATTAAATTTTGTCTACAGTCATATGAACAAGGGGAGTTTACTGGATAATTCATTCATCCAATCTCCTTTATTCATTCATTCAGCATTAAATTTTGTCTTCAATCAAAAGAACAGTTAAGGAGGAAGCTTCAAAATAGAATAGTGTTAAATTTCTTTCTTCTTTTAAACACCAATTTGATGTTATTTTTGTCAACTTTGTAAAATCATTCTTGTTTTCTTGTTCCATTATAGAGAGTAATGCTTATTTTATTAGGTACATCTTGCTAATTAAACTCAGTATTGCTTTTAATGAATTAGTTAGCTAATTGTATGAATATGTATATTTGTTCCATCCGTCCACAGAATTCAACATTCATTTATAGCAATTATTTATTTGTTTTTAAGTTTTTAGATATTTTTACTGAATATTGGTTTATGTTAAATAAAATTTATGTATTGGCACAATTGGTTGTTTTCTTTTATTTAATGATGTCTCAACCTATCAAGGGTTTTGTGGGAGTAGTTTTGATATGTATTGTATTTATTGTATCAATATTTGATAATATTTAATTATTTCATGGTAGCTTTGATATATTTCAAGGTAGCTTTAATATATTTCAAGGTAGCTTTAATATGATATATATTTCATGATAGCTTTAATGTATTTCATGGTAGCTTTGATATTTTTCGTGGTAGCTTTAATATTTTTCATGGTAGCTTTAATATATTCCATGGTAGCTTTAATATTTTTCATGGTAGCTATAATATATTTCATGGTAGCTTTAATATTTCATAGTAGCTTTAATATCATGAGTATTTCATGGTAGCTTTAATATATTTCATGGTAGCTTTAATATATTTCATGGTAGCTTTAATATGATAAATATTTCATGGTAGCTTTAATATATTTCATGATAGCTTTAATATATTTCATGGTAACTTTAATATATTTCATGGTAGCTTTAATATAATATATATATCATGGTAGCTTTGATATATTTCATGGTAGCTTTAATATGATATATATTTCATGATAGCTTTAATATATTTCATGGTAGCTTTGATATTTTTCATGGTAGCTTTAATGTATTTCATGGTAGCTTTAATATTTTTCATGGTAGCTTTAATATATTCCATGGTAGCTTTAATATTTTTCATGGTAGCTATAATATATTTCATGGTAGCTTTAATATTTCATAGTAGCTTTAATATCATGAGTATTTCATGGTAGCTTTAATATATTTCATGGTAGCTTTAATATATTTCATGGTAGCTTTAATATGATAAATATTTCATGGTAGCTTTAATATGATAAATATTTCATGATATTAATATATTTCATGATATTAATATATTTCATGGTAACTTTAATATATTTCATGGTAGCTTTAATATAATATATATATCATGGTAGCTTTAATATTTTTCATGGTAGCTTTGATATATTTCATGGTAGCTTTAATATCTTTCATGGTAGCTTTAATATCTTTCATGGTAGCTATAATATATTTCATGGTAGCTTTAATATTTCATGGTAGCTTTAATATCATTAGTATTTCATGGTAGCTTTAATATATTTCATGGTAGCTTTGATATGATAAATATTTCATGGTAGCTTTAATATATTTCATGGTAACTTTAATATGATAAATATTTCATGGTAGCTTTAATATATTTCATGATAGCTTTAATATATTTCATGGTAACTTTAATATGATAAATATTTCATGGTAGCTTTAATATATTTCATGATAGCTTTAATATATTTCATGGGAACTTTAATATATTTCATGGTAGCTTTAATATGATATATATTTCATGATAGCTTTAAAATTTTTCATGGTAGCTTTGATATTTTTCATGGTAGCTTTAATGTATTTCATGGTAGCTTTAATATTTTTCATGGTAGCTTTAATATATTTCATGGTAGCTTTAATATCTTTCATGGTAGCTTTAATATATTTCATGGTAGCTTTAATATATTTCATGGTAGTTTTAATATATTTCATGATAGCTTTAATATATTTCATGGTAACTTTAATATATTTCATGGTAGCTTTAATATGATATATATATATCATGGTAGCTTTGATATATTTCATGGTAGCTTTTATATGATGTATGTTTCATGGTGGCTTTCATATATTTCATGGTAGCTTTAATATGATATATTTCATGGTACCTTTGATATATTTAATGGTAACTTTAATATATTTCATATTTCATATTTTTCATTTATTTAAATTGTACTCTGAGATAATCTAGTCCTGAATTATTACTCAGATATGATCAAAATCTAATCCAATATTTCTATAATCCTCAATTGATCAAAGATATGACTCAACTAATTAAGAAATCAAAAATAATCCTAATCCTCAACTGATCAAAGATATGACATGATTCACTCAATAATTTTTAGAAAATCAAAAACCTGTATTAACTGACTACTATATAAATCGCAAATTCAACCTCATTACATAACCATTCCTCGACACTTGAAAAAAAGAAAGACAAGCCTGTTTCTAATCATTTCAACCTCGACAACCATTCAATAGACGATCTCACCCTAATCCCAATTGAGCGTATAGAAATTGACTTGCCCGAAGATGAAACTACCAAATTCCGTCAATCTAGGGAAGCCCATTGGATTGAGACATTGAACACAGCAAGACCTATAGGACTAAATATTCATCATAATGTAGGCATAGCACCCTTTGTTGTCCCATTTAATACAACCAGCAATCGAGCAAGCAAGATAGTTCATGCCCACTATAAGAGCCTTCAAGAGAAATTCCCCCATGTCTATAAGCAGAAAATGATAGTTGCATATTCAAAAAATAAGAACTTAAATGTAAACTAAAAACAATCAGTACATAACAGATACTATACTTCTCGCCCATCGGGCGAGTTATTTTTTCTAATTTCAGATCAGAATAAGAACGGAAGAAAACCCAATATCAAGACCCTTAATCCTAATTTCTAAATAAAGTGTCTGCTCCACCCTAGGCCTGTACATTTGGGAGAATCAAACCCTCCCTCCCCCGAAATTTAATATATTTCATGGTAGCTTTCATATATTTCATGGTAGCTTTAATATGATATATATTTCATAGTAGCTTTAATATGATAAATAATGGTAGCTTTCATATATTTAATGGTAGCTTTAATATTTCATGGTAGCTTTAATATGATATATATTTCATAGTAGCTTTAATATGGTAAATATTTCATGGTAGCTTTAATATATTTCATGGTAGCTTTAATATGATAAATATTTCATGGTAGCTTTAATATATTTCATGATAACTTTAATATAATATATATCATGGTAGCTTTGATGTATTTCATGGAAGCTTTAATATGATATGTTCCATGGTAGCTTTAATATATTAAATGGTAACTTTAATATATTTTATGGTAACTTTAATATATTTCATGGTAGCTTTAATATAATATACATATCATGGTAGCTTTGATACATTTCATGGTAGCTTTAATATATTTCACGGTAGCTTTCATATATTTCATATGGTAGCTTTCATATATTTCACGGTAGCTTTAATATGATATATATTTCATGGTAGCTTTAATATGATAAATATTTCATGGTAGCTTTAATAAATTTCATGGTAGCTTTAATAGCTTTAATATATTTCATGGTAGCTTTAATAGTTTTAATATATTTCATGGTAGCTTTAATATATTTCATAGTAGCTTTAATATGATAAACATTTCATGGTAGCTTTAATATATTTCATGGTAGCTTTAATATATTTCATGGTAACTTTAATATATTTCATGGTAGCTTTCATATAATATATATATCATGGTAGCTTTGATATATTTCATGGTAGCTTTAATATATTTTATGGTAACTTTAATATATTTCATGGTAGCTTTAATATAATATATATATCATGGTAGCTTTAATATATTTCATGGTAGCTTTAATATATTTCATGGTGGCTTTGATATATTTAATGGTAACTTTCATATATTTCATGGTAGCTTTCATATATTTCATGGTAGCTTTCATATATTTCATGGTAGCTTAAG